CATGCTAGGGACTGAAATGTTGTCCTTGAGAAACTCATGCGAGACCTTGAACAATGGGATGAAGAACTGATGAAAGACCCGCTGCACCACCTCTCCTATGAGAAACTCCAAGAGACCCGGGACCACCTCCAGGCCTACCTGGACCGACAGACGTTGGAATGGAGAGTGCAAGCGAAAATAAAAAAAGGAACACACTGACGGGACGATGGCGAAGAGCTTCAAAAAATAAGGCCAGGGCCTGAACAAGAGCTGCTACTGTTCCGAGACTCGGGCACCCGCTGAACGACGCTGCCCTGCCTGCGACCAACACTTATACAATTGCAGCTAGCAAAACTAACTAGGGAGGAGGATCTCAACACAACGTATGAGTGGGGAGGGTTGATCAACGTGTGGGGGACCCCAAGAATGGCTTCTATGTATAGCCGAAGCTCTCAGAATCCTTTACCTGGTCTAGATACGAAAACATTATGCCCACGAACCACAGGTCCCTGCAATGGCAGATCCTCCGCCGTTGCCTCCCCACCCCCGACTGGCTTGTGTCTCAAACTGACCTCGAACAAAAAGGGAAGTCACCCATCTGTCCCTACTGTGGCAGGTCCGGGCAGCCAGCCAAGCAACCCTCGAACACTGCCTGCTGGCGTGTCCTATGGCTACCCAGTTATGGCAGTGGTGGGACGCAGCCTTCCGCTCCCTCACTGGGTACCATATCCCCTGGATCTTGGGCTCCTACTGCCGGGAGATAAGCGCCAGCTGCTGGCCCTCTGGTCCCCCTTTGCAACCAATCTTTTCTCCTACACAAGGCTGCACCTCCTCATGCTTGCCTGGAGAGCCAGATGGTCCTTCGAAAGGAAGGACCACCAATTTCGCCTGCAGCAGGCACAACTGCATCGCATTCCAACTCATTGCTGATCCTCAGGCTTCAAGGAGCACGAAAGTGTTATGCATGGGTTTTGATAGGGTATAGGGTTTGAAGGATTTAAAGGGACAGACATAGCAATAACGAACACGGGGGCTGCTGAACAGTACTGGGCTATTAGAAAAGGGGCGCTCCGAGAAGGAATGGGTGATCCTGGCAGCTCCATGGGACAACTGAGCCCCCGACTTACACAGAAATGACCTCAGTCCTACGAAACAACAAACGGCAATCTCTGTATCATAAGCTGTAGCTGTACCATTGGGACGCTGGACCCAGTTTCCAGCAGGTTCCGCCTATGAATCCCCCTCGGCGGCGGACAGGCACGGCCAAGTCCGCGGCCGCGGCCGAGTCCGCGACCTCGCGGATGCGTCCGCGCGGACGCGCGTCTTCGCGGACGCGTGGCGGCCGCTGGGGAAGGGGGTTTGGGAAACGGGAAGCGCCACGTGGCGGCGCAACCCCAGCCCCACCCCGTCAGGCAAAAAAAAACGAAAAAAATCTAATTTTTGGTTGGGGGGGTAAGGGCGAAATCAAAGAAAATAGGGAAACAAAATGCGTTTTTTTTTTTCTTTTTCTTTTTTCTTTCGTTGATTGATTGATTGATTCGATTTTGCTTTTTTTTTTTTGATTGGTTGATTGATTGATTGATTGATTCACGGGGGATGGGTCACCCCACCCCCGCGACCACACACACACACACACACACACACACGCACACACACACACACACACACACACACCACCAAACACACACACACAATCGCGCGGCACACTCGGCGCGCAAACACACGCGCGGCACACACGCGCACACACACACACACACACACACACAGA